AGAGGGGGAGAAAGAGAGAGGGGGAGGGAGAAAGAGGGGGGAGGGAGAAAGAGAGAGAAAAAGAGAGGGGGAGAAAGAGAAGATGCGCACGTCGAGTACACAACAGAGTTTCTTGGAGGTGCTGCTTCTGACGCTGCCCGTGTCGGACACCGAAACCAGCGACACAAAAGAATATGCCATGCACTCAAGTTCAGGAAAGACTATGGATGCAGCTGCAACCACCGACCACTTATAAGAAGCAACCAACAACCCAGTCAAAAAGGGAATTCAGGAAATCCAGAGGATTCAGGCAACGCAATTCACGCAGGGTACCTTCCGGACAATTCGCTCCCAACGTGCAAATGACTCCTTTGACTTGCATCCAAAGAAAATCTGGATGGGGTCCCAAGACGTCGCCACGCACTCCAGAACTCTACAGTGATTCCTGCGACGACGTTAAAACTGAAAAACGCTCTAACTCCCTGAAAACCGACGATCCACTACTTCCACTCGCGAATCAAACCAGTGACGCAGGACAAGAAGGACGCAGTGGACAATTCGGAATTGACTCCAACTCGCACTTAAATCCCCCCAGAACTGACAAATAACTTGGCAGGTGCAACAAGTGACAACCAGATGAGCCAGAACGAAACTATTCTTTAAATCATTTCCGTCCACAGCTCATGGCATAGCACGAACTTTACACTATTTCAAAGGACCAAAAACAAAAGAACTTAACTGGACAAAAATTCTTCATATTTTAACAGAGCCACGGAGGAAAGACGGGCCAAATTTCATCAAAGGACTATTTCAAACTGCGACCTAGATACAATCAGACGAAATATGTCTGACCTGAACATTGTGACAAATGAACCGAAGAAACCACACCTAATTCCACTAGGAATTTTCACTGAGGAGACTTCCAAGGAAGCTATGACAAAGACGAAAGGCAAATTAAAATACATTGACTAATACAGAGTAAGACTAGATGACTACAAGGCCACTAACTCCCGAGTATAAAAACTGCTTTAAAATACTTTACGAGTCCTACTGCCGACGATCAGCCACGTGTGCTTTCTGTCCCCAACCCCACCTCAATGAGCCATGTCCATCTCCAATCGAAACTGATACTGACCTACTCTTCGCTCCAAAATGCGCTAACTATTCCTTTAACTTCCTCCTCATGATCCATCATGACCGTAAATTGTACAAACATGAACCTATATTATTCAAGCAAAGTCCCTCCGCCAACAACTCCCTCCCACTCCAATCACACCACAATCTTTTCTTATCTTAAGACCTCAAAATTCCACCAAGGTATATATCATACCGTTGGTATGAAGTCCATAGGAATCGTAAATTAAAAGGGCTTCCTCACCTAGAAATCCCATCCTGTCTTCGTGGAATGCACGAAGCGGCATGAACCAAAATAACGAACACAAACCAATCGAATCGCCATTCCCTTAACATCTCATTCTTACACATCCATCCCTTTCTGTCCAATAGAAATTTCTAACATACTACACCTTTATCCGGCCAATTCCTTCCTACTCCCATCCCACCAAGTTAGATACTTCCCAACGAAACCTCCAAACTCTTGCCTGAAAACACTGAAACTGAAAACCGAATCCTCCGTCTGATAATGCTCAGGACATAGCGCTTACGATACAACCAACAAGCGATAACAATGCTCCAAGGAAGAGGTAATATTTGCTATTCACGTGTTGCAACGGAACGACCTTTTCTTGGGGTAGTGGGTATTAAAGAATTATTGTACTGTATTTCGATGGCACTATTGTACAATCTAATAGGTACCTCGTTTCTCGATGCAATTTTTTCCAATACATAAGAGTGAACATTTTTTATCGAATGTTACCAGCAATTTTCATCACTTTTATTCGTAACTCAACGAATGCTGGCAGCAAATGATTGAGGATAGATTCCGGAGCTCAAGAAAGCGCACGCGTGGTTCTAACGGTTACAGCCAATAATTTTGAAAGCGAAAAAGATAAATAAGGTATTATGCCTTGTAAATTAAAAAAAATAATAATAAAACGCAAATATGCCTTTGAATTTGTAGTTTCATATAAGCAGAGTACAATCGATGATGGTTGTACGCAGACAACTTCCGTGCTCGAGGCACATTTTGGTTATGTACGAAAAACGTCGACATCTAAAAGGCACTCCTGAACTTCAGCGTCACAACGCGGTTAATGAACGTTTCTCCGCTTTTTTGGTCAATAACGACAAGCATACACTTACTTGACCAATGCCACCTACCCTTCAGTGAGTGTAAGTGTAGATTGTATCCTCTTAGCATATGAGCTTGATGACAATTGGCCGAAAATGTCTTCAAAGGTTCTGCCATTGCCCTAGAGATGACGCTGAAGTTCACGTACTAATAAGCGATTAGCTCTCGACGCTTTGTACATACTCCCACCACCAGAGTTGAATCTCCTCAGTCAGTTTTGTAAATGAGTGGACGAGGCATACTCAAAGGGGCCGTTTAAAGTTAAGTTTATTAGGATACGAAATTCTAAAAATTAATATCCACCTTCGTTGATAGGTTTCCGCCGAATAGTATAAAATGAATTACTATCTCGGTTCCATACATTCCAGAAACTTAAACGAAGCATCTCTTTAAGAGTTACGACCATCAAAATACCTGAAGCTTTTTCTGGGGGAAAAGCGTGCGGGAGGATCTGACTCCGGAAATTGCTGCAGTTTACCAATTTTGGTAGAAATGCAATTTGTAATATGATTCGTTCACCAGCGCAGTCGATTCCGAGAATGAGTCACGCGGGGCGACTAGTGTGCAGGGCCGACGCACTTTCCCGCGGAAAGTGACGCTCCCGCTACGCAGTTTCAGACAAGGTTCGGGCCTTCAGCTCTTGCGCTAATATGAAACATCGAGTCTTTCCAACGTGTTCTATGTGAATACAACTTAATAATTTGGCGTGTATATTCTCTTAATGTTTTATAGGAATGCCTCTTTTTCCTGCTTCTTGTTTATCCCACAAGTTTTTTTTTCCTTCCATGCATACTCGCTCGTGAACGAATCGTATTTCATCCCCATAAATAATTCTGAATAAATGTTATAGTTATATCCTTAAAAAATAAATTAAGATGCTTAAAATTTTTAATATTTTGACATCAATTTTGTATGACACATCTTATCTTTATTCTCATACTGTTTAAAACCTTTTCCATACCATTTTATGCACTTTAATCTGGATTCGATTTACTGACCTATTAGTGGACACTTTGCTACACAATATATCGAAATAAAATATTAAGATTACGTATATCTCATAGACGAACGTTGGGTTTGTTTCCTAGTTGGTTCAATTGTCCACATTCAGAGTACTGAATGAACTCCAAGCACAAATAATTCTAAAACTCTCTAAATGCGTTTAGTACTCTACGACTGAGCGGGCATGCTAAAGGAAACCATTCGATAAAAGAAAACGAGCAAGCAATGACCGAAGGAGAATACAGTCGATTTTCGAAAACTGATTCGATTGTAATCTACGACTGCGGCCAGGACAAGGATTGAAGTTTGAGATTTGTATATAGTTAGTATGGTCGTTACAGAAAATAGTTTTTTTTCAACATTTTGATACCTGGTTCAAGGAGAGTTCTTGAGATCCAGCTTCGATTTAATGCAGCGTATTCCTGAAATCATCTAGTTCTTTTGTTTTTTACTGACTTTGAACGAAATAAGATCACCGAGCAGTTTAACATGCATAAGCATCCGGCCACAAGCGAACGCGATGTTTATAAAGAATTGGAGTGTATAGTGATGAGTTTTAGAGTGCCAGAACTACAAGCTTTAATGAGTTTCGCCGGGTACCAGAAGACAGGTGTCAAGAAGGACTTGCAAGCAAAGGCTATTGAGTTAGTGCGGTTACGATCGCCGAGAATTGCTATCAAAGTAAAGCAAATATATGCTGCATCTATTCTCACAGAAGAATGTAAAGCAGCAAAATATCGGCGCACCCCTTACCCACATCACCCCTGGCCACAACAACATACAATACCCAGGTCAAATGAACCAAATCCTATAAAACATATCCTTTCTAATCCACCCACATCAAGTGCAAATATCATAGATCAGAAGAATGATGTTCCTACAGTGACTAGGTGTGATTCCCCAATGTTGCACGTAAACGTGAAATTAAGGAAGTTACCGTTCTATGAAATCTTGAGTGAATTAGTGCAGCCATCTTTGCTGAATTCAACAGGATCAGTCATCAGACACGAAGATTTTTTCTTCTTTAGACTTACAGCAGAACAAGCTAATTGTATTGGGATTAATAGGCAACAATTACCTGGTAATAAAATGACCCATAAAGTGCAGGTTCAGATGAGATTCTGTTCCACTGAATCTCATTTTAAAAAGGTTAATTGTTGTCCTTCTGGAATGACCATCAATGTGAATGGAACGCCTTGTCAAATCCCACTTGCTTTATCCAATTTGAGGACAATGGGTTCACAATCATTGGATATCACCCCGTTGATTCATATAAGTCCATTAGTGTCCAATACAGTTACCATGACGTGGCTTATTGAACAGGGAAAATCTTTTGCCACGGCAATCTATCTTGTACGTCAACTGACATATAACGACCTCTTAAAGGATTTATTGACTAAAGTTCTTCCTGAAAGTGATACTATAAAACTCATTCAAAGCAAATTTGGAAATGATCTGGAGTGTACTGTTACATCGCAAATGAAAGTGCCATTAGTGTGTCCTTTGGGAAAAGTATTAATGAATACACCATGCCGAGCAACAACTTGTAACCATTTACAATGTTTTGATGCTTGTCTGTACCTACAGATGAACGAAAAAAAACCTACTTGGACTTGCCCAGTTTGTCAGGGGCCTGCAGAATTTGATAACCTTGTCATTGACAGCTTTTTCACAAAGATTCTTAAATCAGAAAAGATCAACGATTCCAAAGAAATCCAGCTTCATCTAGATGGTTCATGGACATTTCTTGCTGACAAACAGCAGCCACAAAATAAGTTAAACACATGTGTGAACATAAAAGTAAAGGACTTCAATTCAAAAACTGCAATTGCCAATCAACCAACAATGTCCACTTGTGCAGTAAAGCAAATGTTAAGTGAAACCACTTGTATTGACTTAACAAACTGTGATAGTGACTAAAACAGTGAGCGAATAGCATCAAGTATGAACTGGTTACAATTAGAATATTTTTATTCACAAATAGCTTCAAGCAATTTGTTTTATAGAGGGAAATATTTGTAATGTATTGTATTTTGTTATAAATATTAATTTGTTCAAAAGGTTAATGAACTATATCATTAAAATTTATAAATTATTTATTTATATTACTGCTTGAGAACGACAAGGTTCTATTTAATTTTCACAACATAGCATTTCGGGTTTGGCACAATTTAAATCCATTGATTTAAATCAAAACGTTTTCTTTTTTTCACTCTTTAATTAGAAATAATTAATTCATTACACTCTAAAAACTCAAGTAAATTTCTTTTAAAATTGAAGTATATTTACTCAAATTTCATTTTGAAGTATTTTGATGCGATTTTAAATTTATAACAAACATTCCAAGTAAATATACTTTAATTTTGAAGCTATTTTTAGAGGTGTATTTGGTTTGAAATAAAAAAAATTATTTGATGTTATTTTAAATATAGTATCAGTTTTATTAACTGGAAACAAAAGGTATACTTTTACATAGAACTGAGTTTTCAACTTGTAACATACAAAATTAATACAATCATATATGTGGAATATACGATTTGTAATTATTAATTTAAAAGAACTTCAATAATAATCACATTTACGCAAGAAAACAAATTTTGCATCATTTTCAGTAACTAACTTATTTCTTAAATGAAAATGGACAAAAACCAAATATTGGAAAAATATGTTCCACGTCAGCTGATTATGTTTCAGCAGTAAGATGTTGAGAATTGTTCAAATAAAATATAAAAATAAAAAATAAAATTTAAAAATTCTAAGTCTGGATTTTACCCAATTCTGCAGCATTTTCAATGTTAGGAATTGTAGAAATATGCAACTTTAATACACTAAAATATATATGAGGATTGATACACTGAAATAATATTAAACAAATTAAACAGAATTTCCTGTTTCATAATTCACAAATTTCTTCATTTTCAATTTTCTAAATCATCAATTTATTCTTATTTTGACCCCCCAAAAAATCATAATACCTCATGCTCTGAATATGGTTTTGATCAAATATATTGTTAGACATTTTGCTAAAAAATTCTTCAGTAATGAGCTACAGATTTTTTGAGCTCCTTGGTTGAGTGGGGCTCGTAATTGCCTGTCTCTCACTCCAATGTCAAGTCCCACTCTACACAAAGTTTTTCTTCTTCTTTTCTTTGTCTATGTGAATATCTAATTACAGTAGTTTATGACTACAGCGCGACTCACCAAGCAGGAAACCAGAGTTCAATTTCTAGTTCCTTTTCAGAAGTTTTTTGAAGAACAAAAAGTGCCATCCAACAGAGAATATTGAATCCGAAAAATGTGTTTCAGTGTTGATTCGATTACTAATTGTGTTTATTAAACTAAGAACTGTGTTGATGTCAACCAGACTCATTTGCATTTTTTCTTAAACAAAATGCTTCTTGTAAAATCGAAAACTTTGAAATTGCCATGTATTGCATTGTAGTAGCACTTCGTGGAATTTAAATAAAGAACTGATAGAAACGCAGTGCCTGAAGAAGTTAGAGGCAGAAAGGGTTAAGAGATACTTGTTAATTTAGGAAAGCTTGCAAACACTGGCATTCTTTATGGTTGCGAGATTCACAGGGTTCTGTTCTGTACCAAGGAAGGAAATTGAAGTTTTCTTGATACACAAAATTACAACTTTTGAAACTCTACAAGCTGTGTTAGGAAAGCCACAATTCATATCTGCATCATCTGGGGGCACATTTCTTTAGGTGCTGTGCCCTTTACAAAGCAATTTTCTTTCTATGTATTGGAGTTGAACAGGCTGATGGAAAATGAACTTTGAAAGTCGTGGAGGGAGTATCCAGAACAGATAGCGGATATCAACAGATTTAAAAGATATTGTCTCCCTATTTTCTTTCTTTTAACCCATTTCTTCCCAAAACAATGTTTATTTCATTTTACCATTACCATTAGTTAGTTAGTAGTAATATTTTGTACAGTAAATATGATCCTTAGTGACAAACTTTTTTTATTTGATAAACATATATTACATGAATACACATTTAAATTTTTTTTCCCCATGAAAGGCGCATGCCCAATTTTGACAACTCTACAATATCTGTCTTTTGATCTTGAAGTTGGTGATCAATGTGAATTTTTATTATCACCCTGCAAAATATAATACCTACAAATAGAAGTGTTAAATGTTTCACTAGATCGTGATTTTCAAGTCAATTTTTATAGACAAATAAATATTGTGTCGCGGTTATGCAACAATGAGTTTTCTCCGTGCAGAATCGGAAACTGCCAAATTCCATTACAATGCCATGACAAATGATTCATAGGAATGAAATAGTATGTGGAATGAGATGTAATATTAAGAAGAATATGCTCTCTTTAGATTGTCCCATTGACAGATATGTGAAATGACAATATCTGTAGATTTCTCAGCACTAAAACATAGTATGGCAGAGTTGCGCCTTCCTATACGAAACTGATGCATGGTCTTTCAATGATACCAGTTGTCATAAAAAAGCCTTTCAAACAAGTTTGAAGAAATAAGAAGCACTTGAAGAAATATTTGCAATCCAGAGTTTTCAGCCAGAATTTATCAGTAACTATGAGCAATTTCATACCTTGGGGGAGGGGAGAGGGAGGTCACCTACCTAAAACAAGTGAGATATGAGAGGTCTGGTTTCATGATGCGTGTATTCACCAGGGAAAAATTGATTTTTGGATTCGTATAATGTTCATGGTGGAATATCAAAGAAGGCATGAATGTATGACATTAGATGAAGTAATTTGCCTTTTGAAGAAAATTGTTAAAGAAAACAAAAACATCTCTTTTGCTGTTTTTTTTGGCAAATTTCTATGTATCACAGTATTTTCTGTGACACCCTATTCACCAGAAGCGTATTTCTGATTTCTGAAATTGTGGCAACAGAGGAAAAGGGCATAAGACCGTTTACTTCAAACCCAAACATTTATTTTGAAACAAAAGTTGTGCATGAAAGAGAAGTATAATAAGATTATGATTCAGTAGAGACCCAGCTAAACAAGGAATATTTACAATCGAACAACAAATTGTATTGATTTCGGGTCCAAACTAGTACTCCCTCTTCTTAGAAGCAAGTGGAACAACTAATAAAATATGGATACCGGAAACTCAAATTGCAATTTGCCATCTAATGCATTGAAATTTAGGTCATTATAGTAAGAAGAGAAAGAGAGACAAAAGGTCCATGTGTATTATATAACTTAGTAGTCATAAGATTGTGTGCAGACAACATAACATTCGTAAGACTCAAAACAACTTTGGAATTAAAAAACATTTAGATTGTAGTTGGTTCATGCATGAAGATGAATTCTATTTGCATATCAGTAAAATTAGCAGACATTAATTGATGAAATAGCGTCCTTTCTTTAAAAAGCAGCCTGTTCACTTCCTTTCCGGAATACTCCCAATGTTGCGTATACGCAACGTTCCTTCCAGCTTCAATCAAGAATCAAAATATTTTTTGCAAACTGTCTTTGCTATCTTTGGAGTCATTATCAATATTTAACTAAAATGTATGAAACAAATTAGGTATTTTACTGTTTCGGAAGAAATGGGTTAAGTTCTAAACTGGTAGGACTCCAGAAAAGAGAGAGTATGCAATAGCGCTTTGCAAGGAAACTTACCTGGGCACCTACATAATCAAGATTGTTGCCAAGTATAGTGCATTTCACAATAAAGACGACTTTTGAGAGGTTACCATACTTTTGGAGAAAAATTAGCCAAGGGATATTTGGTTTGTTACCTACATGCAAATCTATTGGTGAAGAGTTCTTGTGTAGTAAATCATTCACCCTATACTGGTTCTCTCAAAAATACGGAAGCAAGTGCATCAAACTCAAGTGTACTTCACAACTTTTGCCTACACATCTTTAAATGTAGATATTCTTGTTAGATGGCTGCAGTTTGTTCTTTAATGATCGTTAGTATGATACAGCATCATATAGGTGTTTGACTAAGCACAGATATTTACAAACAAAGGATCAGAAGAAAATTAATCACAGGTCATTATTCTATCGAAAGTTCCATTTGAAAGTGTTAATTCCTGAGCGGAGACTACACACAGGGACTTGACTGTAAATCACACATGCCCTCTGCAGTTTCCACAAACTTTAATCATTTTTGTTCCCTGGTACTGAATCATTAAATTTGTACTTAGCAAAACTGTTGTAAATAAATAATATTAAATAATCTTTATCAGCATTGTTTAACTTAATTATTTTCATTATTCATAGAAAACCAACTGTTGAGGTGTCTCTTTGTTGATGGAAATATATTCCTTTAATAAATTAAGAGACTAACCTGACATGTGTAGTGCTTGTTTGCATTCAACCTGTGCTGAATCAAGAGCACCCGCAACACCTAGGTGGTATTGGCTGAATCCTGCATGCCTTCTACCACGTTCAGTGTAAAATTGTAGCTTCTAATCGTAATCATTAGTCATAGAAAAAGTACTGTATGAAACTCATTTTGATGTGTATAAATAAAATCTTAAGAAATATACAACACTTCTGTGTCATAATATACTTCTTATTTCTGAGTTTATACTGAAAATTACATTGTCTTACAATATACTATTTGTCTAAACAGTGTAGTATGGAGGAGACCTGAAGTTTTGGGAACAATATTGTTATTCAAAGATTTCATTATGTTCCTCAGTACATTATATACAAGTCACAGAAAATAATTTTTTATAGTAGTAGCAACAACAGTTATCTATTGGATTGCTTCTCAAATCCAAATATTTATTATGTCTTCATTTTTGTTAGGCCCTGATTACTTTACAGAAAACTCAAAATTTTAAATCAATTCTCTTGCTTACTAACAGAGATTCACAAATACTTTATAATTTTCATAAATGATCAAGCAGAGCTACATGAAAATACTAATATGCAATCATTTCATTGAAGTAGCACAAGAAAAGATGTTTGATGAAATATAAACAAAAATTCTTAACTACCACTCAACAACCATTCAAGATTTAAGGGAGAGTAAATTGAACAAGTTTATATACTGGTAGAATATAAATTTTAAAGTTTTTCTTCACAAGCTGCAACAAACCACCTCCCAGGAAAATATCCACAGTAGTCTACAAAGCAGCTGAGAAATTGCACTTTGTGAAATCACAATTGTCTGCTTCTTACCTGGTCATTGGACTGGACTTCAATCTTGTAACCAGGTGGAAGGAATGTATTGAAACCCACAATGAGTTCTGGATGTCCTTTGAAGAGATCTGATACACGATGAATTACTCCTGGAGTGTCAATACTGCAACAAAATTGGCCAAAGTTATACTTGACTGACAATGACAACATAGGGGTTGAAGAATTAATATCAATTTATTTGGAAAACTTTTGTTCAATAAATTCAATGTCAAGGTACTAAACAAATTAAGTTTTAAAGATAATTCTTTTTTCAAAATAAAACTACAATAGAAATGAAACTTGAGTGGGAAGGTAAGGAGTGGTCCAACATTAAAATGACCTGTTACAGAGTGAAATCATGTTGTGAACCAACCAAATTAAGCATTTTCATTACAGTTTGGAACGAAACTATCAGTCTTCACACAAAATATTTTTAACCAGCTAAAACAAATAAAGGAAATTTTTATACTTTCCAAACATTCTGAAGTTATTTTCACATACTATTAATTGAATATAGAAACAGCACAAACATGTATACTTTTGCAAACTTGTACATTCTACAAGGTGTCAAATATGGCTCCAGTTTTTTGTACCCTATTTCTGCTTAGTATCCCACAATTTTGCATGCTTTCTAATTTATTTTCCCCCAATCATTTTCCAACTACATTATCGATACCAAAAATCTGAATATTTGTTACCTAACTCACTACCTAATTTAGCTCATTAATGTGCTCTTGGTTCTGAATCTATAATATACATGACAAAATTAAACATTAAAAATTTTTTTTAATAACAAATTATAATTATCTTGTTATTCCTTTTGCACATCTCTAATATTTCAGTGCAATTAATATCAGTTTCATCCAGTTACCTTCATTGTTCATTGTGTCATTGTTCTTGACGTTGAGACATCACTATCAAAGGGCGTAAGTGTTCGATGAAGTTCCTGGCACTTCACTTACAACTGTATAATTTAAATAAATCATAACTAAATAACCAGTTTCACATTCAAATAATTAAATTCCAACAGAACACACATACAAAAACAGTAACCTCAAAATTGACATGGACTCACAATGACTCCTGAGTGCACCAGCAAACTATATGAATTTCTTGTTGAGGACAGTTGACAATTACAATTCAATGCAAATTTACGAAACCAAGAGATATGACAAAACCAGTTCAAAAAAACAACAAAAACAACAACAAAAAAGTCTTTAATTTGCAGAAAACTAACAGCACGGACTCGTGCCTACACTGCCGAGTGAACACAAAGCCTTACATGATACCATTGTCTTCACTTCAGAGAGGACCATTCAAATTCTTTAAAACTCAAAAAATACTATCCACACAACCATTTTTGCATTAAGTGGTCAAACACACACACAATTACACACTTACACACACACACAATTACACACTTACACACACACACAATTACACACTTACACACACACACACACAATTACACACTTACACACACACACACACAATTACACACACACACACACACAATTACACACACACACACACAC